CCACCAGAGCTCCAAGACATGTAGTAGACAATCAACAAGGAAGGCTGCTCTCCGGATTTAAAACAAAAAAGTTTATTCAAACATATTTAAAATCCACGACCATGGATTTTAAATATGTTTGAATAAACTTTTTTGTTTTAAATCCGGAGAGCAGCCTTCCTTGTTGATTGTCTACTATATATATATATATATATATATATATATATATATATATATATATATATTGTGTTTTGTGATAAGGCAGTGAAGATTGTGGGGGGGCTCGCTCACAAGAATGCATTCCACCTTTCTGAGTATTCTCTCCAAGACTGGTGTATAAGACAGGGAGTCAGGGATGTAGCTCAGTGTTGATTTACGGAGGTTAGGTAAGTGAATCTGATACAAGAATAGAGGAATATTTGGACGTGTTAAGTGTAAAGGCAAGCGTGATTTGTTGCACAACTATGCAATGTGGATAGAGGGAATATGCGAAGTTAAGCTAGTATGTGAAGAGGAAAGTGATTAATGGTTGGAGGATGATAAGGGAAATTGGTTGAATTCCGTGAGTTTATTTTCCTTTATGTTGAAGTACATGTTTCTAGAAACAGCTGTATGGGCTGTTAAATGCATAATGTTCTCAACTGTCTTATTTAACCTGCCAGGTCTGTTCATAGTTTAGTATTTCATTTTGCAGAACAGAATGTTGCTTCTCTGACTTATTTTAATAGTTATAATATAGTGTATTGTTGAAAGTGCATCAGCCACCACCCTAAAGATGGCGCCTAGTACAGAAGGAGGTTGACCCTGCCAGTCCCGTGACCTATCTACAGTCACGGTTGCTTCTAAAGTGACGTCACTTCCGCCCTTACCATGCCCACACCTCCTGTCTTCCATTCCCACACATATCATGGACGTCACCCCTCTCACTTCCTCCCTTGCTGTCATTTCCTTCCCCGCCCCTGTCATGGCTGCCTCCATCATGAGGCCTACCCCTATTATGCTCGTCCTATTTAGAGACATGTTGTTTTCCTTACACTCTACATATTATGAACAGAAACATTATAATTACTAAAACAATCATGCCATTTGTTTCCCTGTATCAGAAATGTGTCCGTGATAATAATATATAAAAAAAAAAAGAAGGTTGCTAAAATGTCATTTGCAACTGTGGTGTGACCTACAAATGAGATCTGTTGGACACGAATATAAGAGCATAACAGCTGATTATCCATATTAATCTTGCAACAAGGGAAATAGCCAAATAATGCAAGTTATTTTAAACATTGTATCTTTACTTAATCGAATCTTGCTAGTTACAGATCGTAGGTTTACAGTAACATCCTTTACTTTAAATGATGGTTTAGCATTAGAAGGGTTTGTGACATGTTTTATTAACCCAGCCATTACTGGTTATTCATTTTAGTTACAGGGTGGTATAATTGTTATGGTCTAACTAATATAAATGATAGTACCGCAATAGTTAATGTTTTACCCAAAGACATATAGGAACTTTAATTCACTTACTATTAACCATTATTTATAATGATAGACATGTTCAGACTGCAAAAAGCTATGGCTAATGACATAGAAAGGGGTTAGAGTCAGTAACACAGCCCATACAGAGGAGAGCAAACCCACTGATGCTTAATGCCCCTGCCATGGCAGTGTCTACAGGGAACAAGGGGGGCCACTAGCCACAGTAGTTCTACCCGTTGAGGGTCATCCCACTACTTTCCTGGTTGACACAGGTGCAGCCCGCAGTGTTCTTAGAGAACAAGACCTGCCTGACTCATCGTTCCTGTCTGACACCGATGTCTCTTGTGTTGGTGTTGATGGTATTTCCCGCAGTAACCTGTCCATGTCCCATTAACCTCTTGGGTGCTGATGTCCTATCCCGCCTCCAAGCATCCATGACCCTCACTGCAGAAGGCCAGGTTCAATTAAATACACCTTTGTCACGAAAAGACACTACAGTTCTTTGTTCCCTTCCCATTTTACTTGGAGATAACATCCCCACGACAGAAAAATGTTCTCTGGACCTCCTTTGTTATCTTGCAGATCAGGGGTGTAAGGCATCTCTTCTCAAACTTCAATTTTGCCAGGCCACAGTAATCTTTCTAGGCCATTGCCTGTCCCATGGCACCAGACACCTCACCTGTGATCGTGGCCATTCCGCCTCCAAAAACTCCTAACTCCCTCCACGCCTTTCTAGGCCTCATTTCTTACTGCCGAGCGTGGATCCCAGAGGCCTCTCTGCTCTGTCTGTCCTCAGAAGCACATGACAACTTCTACACTCTCCAACGTGCTAGTGCATCTGCTCCCGCCCTTGGCTTGCCAAACTACACCAAACCGTACAAATTATTTGTGTCTGAAAGACAAGGCCACGCCACAGGAGTCCTTACTCAAGCCCATGGACCTGGCGGCCGCCAGAGGCCTATTGGCTTCTTCTCTTGCCAACTGGACATTGTGGCTAGAGGAACCCCCTGTTGCCTCCGAGCTGTTTTTGCCGCTCAGGAACTCATCAACCGCACTGGGGACTTGGTTCTTGGCCGCCCTCTGACTGTTTTGGCACCTCATGATATTTCTGCCATACTTAACCAGGTCCAACTCAAACATGTCACCCCTGCCAAGCACCTTCGTCTCCAATGTCATCTCCTGTTACCTGACAATGTTACCCTTCAAAGATGTCAGGTTCTGAATCTGTCCACTCTTCTGCCACTCCCTGAGGGGGGGTAGCTACTACGGCTCCAAGAAAAAGGCGTTGTCAAGTACCCAACAACTGAACATGTAAAAGCATGGCCACGGTACTTTCTGGAAGAAGAATTTGAAGATCTGGTCATAAAGCACGACTATGATCCAGAAACGCCCCATAACTGTTTTGAACAGATGAAAATGGAAACAACACATTTGCCAACCGTGCATGAGGATCCACTAATAGATCCTGACCTCACCCTGTTTGTGGATGGCTCAAGGTATGCTGATGAAGAAGGAAAATATCACACAGGATATGCCGTCACCACAACAGATGAAATTATCAAGTCATCATCTCTACCATCAACAATGTCTGCGCAGGAAGCTGAATTACAAGCCCTAACTTCAGCATGCAAGATATCTGAAGAAAAGCGCGCCAATATCTACACAGATTCAAGATATGCATTGGGCGTGGCTCATGACTTCGGATTAATTTGGAAAACAAGAGGATTTCTTACCACTGCCGGTACACCAGTCAAGCACAGTTCTACAATCAAGGAGCTGATGGATGCCCTCCTACTCAGAAGAAGTGGCCATTCTGAAGGTAAAGGCACATGGGAAGTTGGATTCGAATGAACCAAGGGGCAACCATCTGGCTGATCAAGTTGCAAAACAAGCTGCAAGAGAACTACAGGAAGTGGACAGAAGTGTGTCCGGAAACGAAGAAACTCCCACATTTACCTTGCAGACACTTCCAACTGATCTAAAAACCCTACGGGAACAACAGGCTGCAGTTGCTCCTGAAGAAATACAAAAATGGATACAGAAAGGGGCAGTTCTGAAGGATGGAGTGTACTCCAACAACCTCAAGTTCTGCCTCCCTAAGAATTTGTACCCAGCAGTCGTACAATGGGCACACGGACCTGCACATTTATCAAAGGATCTAATGAATGCTCTCGTACAAAAATACTACCTCACTGTCCCCATATGAGATTCTATTTGGGACTGCACCTAGGCTAGGTTGCTATTTTCCCCAACAACTACAACTTCAAACTGATGTTTTAGTAGATTATGTAACTGAACTCGCAAATGCTTTAAACAAAATCCATGCCCAAGTTTTCTCTTCAATTCCAGATCCTGATTCTGATACGGGCAACCACAGTCTGCTCCCTGGTGATTGGGTCCTAGTCAAGAAATTTGTGTGGAGAAACACCCTGGAACCAAGATTTGACGGACCATTCCAAGTTCTACTGATCACCTCCACCTCATTCAAGTTGGCTGGGAAAAGCAACTGGATACACGCCTCCCATTGCAAAAAGGTTCCTGTCCCAGAGGAAGCAGACTCCTCACAACCATGTACCTCTGGTACATCATCCCTTTGATTAGTTTCCTTGAGGCCCAACAAGTGGCCATTACCAAAGATGCTAGTGGGTACACTTTCTGGTATAATTCATCATGTACCCACGTGGCTACATTCACCTTTGATTACTGTGATATTGTAGAATGCCCATTCCCTAAGTCACAGATTCAAGCCATTTATAAAGATATACCACAAGCAAAAGACCCTTACGTTTGTGTAGTAGATGAACAATGGGGTTATGACTGTAACTACTGGGGGGCTGCGGGATGGAATACTGGGCCTGCCTGGGGTTATAAACCCAAAAGTGCTTTATCTAAGATAGACAATCAGGTTAGATCCCTCCTTCAAAGAATGACTTTAAGAAAGCCTGGAGGAAGTACCCCTATGAAATTAATGTTAAATATTGAACATCCTGGCCCCGAGGATGCAGACCGATATGTAATGGGAATGTACTGGAAGAAAGTTCCTACAACAAATTAGGTCATTTCTACCTCAGAGATATGTACCACTCTCCAGAGTGGCAAGGGGCTGATCATATGGTCCCAAATCCGCTAAAACCACATATCCAGTCCTTTAAAGATATGAAGGCCATCGCTAACCCCACTTTTGAAGATACCATGGCCGCTGAAACTGGATTCAATGACATTAATTTGTGGTTAGAATGGATGAGGTATAATGCCAACAAACATAATAAAACAGCATGTTATGTATGTGGCGGTGCCCGACCCCACCTTGGCACCGTCCCCCTAACTCTCCCTTTAGAGATAGAAGATTGCTTCTTAAGCCTTTTTGCCTACCAATATGACTTTAATAGGTCCCTCTGCATGGCATGGACGGCAGAATACCCTCTCTTAGTTGAAAATGTTAAGCCACCAGATGGAATCACAGTCTATAGAGGTAATTACACTTGTTATGCCATGTATGACGGGATTGGTAAATTCATGGGTAATTTTTCTAAAGGTTATTGTGCCACTTACAGAACTGTCCCCATACGTCTGTTGCAACATCACACCAGGTCACTAGGAGACATTTACTGGCTATGTGGGGACTTGCAGTTAAGATCCAGACTGGAGACTGACTGGTGGGGGGAGTGTACCTTGGCCAAGGTTATCATGCCCATCCACATTATTTCTGACAATCATCCCGGCGCCCACGATTCCCCACAGACGTTAGCTAGGATTAAGCGTGAAACCCCAGTAAAAGGCAGTTTTGACCCCCACATTTACATAGATGCCATTGGGGTACCTAAGGGGGTGCCTAATGAATTTAAAGCTAGAGATGAAGTAGCTGTAGGTTTTGAATCACTTTTTACCATAGTCACTGCCAACAAAAACCTTAATTGGATTAACTACATTTATTACAACCAACAGCGTTTTGTCAACTACACCAGGGATGCCCTCCAGGGCCTGGCCGAGCAGTTGCAGGCCACATCCCAGATGACCTTCCAGAACAGAATGGCCTTAGACATGATTCTAGCTGAAAAGGGGGTGTATGTAAAATACTACCTGACACCATGACTTGTTGCACTTATATCCCAGAAAACACAGGTCCAAATGGTAAAGTCACTATGGCCATAGCGAAGTTAGAGAAACTCTCAGAAGAGTTGAAAAGGAATTCTGGGGTAACAGATCCCTGGGAAAGGTGGTTTGGTTGGATGTCAAGTTGGCAGAAAGCTTTAGTCCATATTGGTATGGCTGTACTAATTTTTCCTTTTTGTTCTCGCTCTTCTCGTTTGTTGTGTCCTCCCATGCTTTAGAAAATTCTTACAGAAGACTACAGACCAAGCGACACTAACTCTCACTCATCTGACAATCGATGATCAAGATCTCACCTCACCCTGTATTCCTCTACAAACTCTCCCTTATACTGATGAAGTGCAGAAAGTCCAGGAAGGGACAGTACAGGGACAGCATCCGTCTTTATGGGTAGACTGCCGTACGGAGAAGTAGTGGATAAGCCACTATGGGTTACCAGCGGAGTGAAGGGTGTTCCTGAACCATACTGACGGATGTGCTGCAGCCTGTTAGGGTCAAGAGAGGGATAGACTTGCACTTTGCATTAACACTAAGTCAGCGGTCATGGGGTTTCTGTGTCTTTGGGCAAACACATCTTCTGATACTAACAAATGAAGTTTTGTCTTTTAGCAAATAACATTTTAAGGGGGGACTGTTGTAGAATTATTAGGCCTCTATAAATCTGTAAGGCTCCTTTAAATCCTCTTGCTATACCTCTAAGAGGCCCCATAGTTTTACAAGAAAGCTTTGTCTATAGAATATAGAATTTGCATGTCAGCAAGAAATATTATGCACCTGTAGTGTGAAACACTGTAACGTCCCACTTACAATGATAGCTTTGATAAAATGTGTATTTACTAAAAGCCTTGAAACCTAACCTTGAGAAACTAACAGTGCCAGGCTACACTCTAAATGGATAGCTGCCAAAAGGCCCCTCCCGTCGGGTGAGCTCCTCATGTTAACAAAATGGCGCTAAAATCTGGAGGAGACAATCATGACGAGGATAGTGACCTAAGATGGTACACCCCGTAGGGAGGGCATTTTACTAACTACTTAGCACCTAAGCCAATTAACAATGTCTATTTGTCTATATCTTGATTTTCTTCAATGATGTAATAATGCCTTTAAAAGGGCCTGCGAGCCTGCTTTTTAAACAGAAGCCATTAAACTTCTCCGAAGTTCTTTCATTAACCTGAACTCTGTGTCTCAGTGTGAATTTACTTCTGCGTGCACGCAACTTTATTATCTTTAATTTGGACAGGAACAGATAGTCATTCAAACTAATTGGTTTGCAGTAAATCATCTACTACAATGTTAAGATTACAAAAACTAAACATATGTTAAAAGAGTTGGTTATTCAGTTTCACTAATAGACTGCCTAGTGTTAATATATAATTTTACCTGTAGAAAACTGCTCTCAAGTAGGATTGTGAAAAGCAGTCGTCCCCCCCCCCCCCAGATTTTTATTTATTTATTTTTATTATTTTTTTTAGGCAAGAGGTGCCCCTAGAAGAAATCCTCTAGCAATTTCCACGCTTAACATGCGGGGCACAAGGTTAACATGCATATTTTTATGTTCTGGTCTAGCTAAAACATTCAATTGTAAACATAAGTGTAAATTATAGTTAGGCTATGTCAGAGCACAAACACATTTCTATGATCTAAGCAGGCTCAACAGTATAACTTTGGCTGTAGATATATATTTATGCTATAGACAAGTTTGATCTGAGCGTAAGCTAAGTTATTGATAGCATGAGTAATACAGGTATAGGTTGTAGGACAAGCATCAACGTTATATCATACTGCGGAAATTTTAACTGGCTGATACCCTGATTACATATGGTTTTGTGCGAGTCTGCTTGCTGCGTTTAGCCTATCCCGCTTTGAGTCCATGTATAATGTGGCCGTTTGATAGTTTGGTTATCCAAATTAGCGAGACATGCGTACAATACAATAGTGAGTTAATTTAAATAAAACATGCAGGTGACACATGAGGGCCTTATTCTTATCGCATAGCAGTAATTTGCATAAGAATTATGACGTGTGTGCATGCGTTTAAGTACAAAGCAAATGCTAGGCTTATTAGGCACCAATGAAATATAACATGGCAATAAAGGGAAACATATATCCTGCTGTCTAAAAGGTAAATGTACTGGCTGGGTAAATGCAGCGGGAAATACATTGTGCATGAGTGTATGCTATACTTCGTTTAGGCGTAATTATTCAATGCTGGGTAAGTTAATGAAAATAACACAATAAACAATTAAATACTGTCAAAATTAACTGTGCCGGGTAGATTGGCAGGTACAAGACAGTTAGCTTCAGTCCCTCTAGCGTCTTTCAGCCCACTCCTACAGCCGGTACAATGTTGTCTCCCGAAGTGGCTTTGTGTATATCTTCCTGCCAGGGTGTGGGTCGACCAGTCGGTGGGCGCTGGTTGTGGCGTTGCTGGAACTGGGCAGATGGTCTCCCACTTCACCTCCCTAGTCCAGCAGAGGTGGGCCTGCTCGTGCGGTGGGTGGTATATTTCTTTCGCCCCTTTGTGCTCTGTTTGGTCTGTGCGTCTGTGCGTTTGCGGGTCTTGAGGGTCTCCGCTGGGTCCCAGCATGTAAGTGCGGTAGGCCCGTACGGGCCCTTGTGGTTGCTGCAGGGGCCCGGCTTGGCGGTTGCTCTGGTGGGCTCCGCTTTACTGCTTGTGGTGCCTGTCGGCCCTGCTTGCCTGTGGTGTCCCTTACGGGCGGTGCTTGCGTGTGGCCCAGAGGTGACTTTTGGTCGCTTATTTGGCTTTCTTGGTCTACTTCCGGGTCTGGCCCTGAGAGGGGCCTCCAAATGTGCTTACCCCTCGGGGTTATGTGTTGCTGGGGGATTGCTGCGTTGCTCCGCCCGGTCTCCCGTGGGGTGCACTTGTCAGCTGCTAAGGGTGTCATGCTGGCTTCCAGCTTCTCCCAGAATGCAGTGAATATTTTATTTAGTCGCATTTCGGTTTCCCGCCATGCGTTAGAAGGGTTAGCGGTACTGCTGGTGCCCGCCATTTTGGAGGTAGCAGGGTCTTTGGGCTCGGGACTCCTTGGAGCCTGTGCTGGCTCGTTGCTTCACTGAGAGGGTATGTAGGGATGGACCGGGATGACCCCCACCGGTCCAGAGGGGGGGGGGAACGAGAGCTCACCTCCGAGTACTCGGCCTGGTGTCGCCGCCGGGGAGCGGCCGTCTCCCCGGTGTCTTCCATGCTGGTAGGCTGCATTGTGATTTGAGCTCTGTTTTTCGCTTGGGAGGTGTCGGTTTGCTTGTCTAAGTGCCCTCTCTCACGTGGCGGCCTTTTAGCCTCAATTAGGTGCCGATGTGGTAGCGTATTGTGGCCTTTAATGCCAAGCTCTGCAGGAGCCACCAAGATGAACTTCCTCGCGGCTCTGCGGTCAGGCTCCGCCCTCTCCCCCAGATTTTCTTTTGATTCTACCCTGATGATAAAATTACCACTGCAAGGTTATTTAAGCCATTTTTTTAAATTGTCTTTTGTAGCTTGGATTCCCCAACACTAAAGGGGAAGGAAACTATAAATCTTGCTGGGCAGGGTACCAACAGCCGTGTAATGCTGCAAATGGGCATGGCTAACAAGTGATTAATAAAATAGCTGGTTGAGGTTTTTTTTAACCAACAGCACATTGAATGGTGATAAGGGAGTGTTTGTGGTGATTGTTGGTGCCTAATCTGTGTATGTAAGTCCTGCCTTGACTTTTGCATGCTGCTACAATGCTAATACAACTCTGCTGAACTTCAACATTTGGGCTATGGGCCCAGAGTAGACAAGGATGGCCACATACACTTAAGCTGTTAATGTTATGGGACATGGAACTATTTTCTGACACTGGTTCCCACGAACACCGCTGAGATCACCAACCCTCCATCTCTTCGTTCCAATTCATACGAACGCCGTGCCGTTCGCTATATTGACAATCCACGAACGGAACCGCCTCAGATAGCTAAACCCATGAGCTCATGTTTTCTGCCGAACGCACAATGAACAGACTTTCAGTTCCATGGCGATTTGACTGTATGTATGGTATCTGAGCGCTGTTCGGTTATATTGAGCGCTCAGATCTAAGCTATTTGGGGAAATGTCGAACGTGGGGGTTCCGTTCGGTAAAATAAGACTTATGTATTTTTATGTGTTTTTACTGTTCTTATAAAATGGAGGATATTCTCTATCCCTGGAGGTAATTGAGTTACTTCAAGCACTTAACCCAATTATCTCCAGAATAGAGAGGTGTTGTACTGTTTGTGTGAGAGTGTTTGCATTCTGTAAATACATGTGATTGGTTACTGTAAAAATGTCTGTCTTCCACAAGGTCCCTATGGGAGTGTCCCTTGCTGGAAGACCTGCATAAAAGGCTGACATGTAGCCACCATTAAACAGATCTTGGTTGACCCTCAACACAGAGCCTTGTCTGGTGCTTTGGGGGATAATTCATATGATTCCTGTTCGGCACTTAGGAGTGTTCGGTGGCTGACTTCGCATTCTGGAAAAAGAACAGCTTTGGCGGCCTTAACCCCTTCACCTACCCGGGGTGTCGTTACATGGGGAAATCCCAACAGTGGCAGCTGCTCATTATGGTTGGTCCCAGTATGTGAATGGTGACACGGCTCTGGGTAGCGAGCCTGCAT